ATGACGTCCGTCGAACGTGTAATGACTTATACAAATATTGAATCTGAGCCCGGCTACAGTACGGGGGACCGTCCCCCAGAGTCCTGGCCCAATGAAGGAAGCTTAACCATAGAAGATCTTTCTTTGGTTTACTTCAACGGCGGACCTCGCGTCTTGAGGGACATCAACGTTCATGTTTCTAGTAAGGAGAAGGTGGGAGTTGTTGGTCGCACCGGTGCTGGAAAGTCATCTCTGGTATCCGCTCTGTTTCGTATGCCAGATCCACTGGGAAAGGTAAGTTGATGGCGATGTCCAGGAATTGCCACAGTCTAAAAAAGCTGCCCAAGAAATGGTTCGCCTTTCTTTGATGCCTGAACGTAATCAATCCAACTGATAGTTTACCTTACTAAATTATAAAGTGAGCCTCGACAAATGGCGGCTAAATGACTAAATGACGGGCTGTTTAAAGGAGAAAGTCTCATACAAAACTCTACTAGATATAGACGCCTGTCTTCCTAAACCGCAGGGCTTCTCCAAATGCTCAGAATTTCGAAACTGCTTTCCAGTAGCTCCCCTCTGTTTTGTTACAATTTTTGACGCGAAACTAGTAAGAAGCACTCTGTGGTTAAAACCATCGCAATCTTCTTAAAGGAGTTCACAAAGTAACATACAGTAAGTCCCGGCCTGTGCGTATTTAAGCCATACTAGCGACCATTTTAAGGAACACAAACCACACAGCTTTGTACCGGATGTACCAGAGGGAACAATTGATGCTGTGAAATTAAATATTTCGGCAATGACTGATAAAAAACATTTGGGACCTTTTGGGGACACGATTTTAGGCAAAGTCCAATGCGACGTAGAAGTCTTAGAGGACACTTAACTGAAAAATATTCCCTTACGTTTTAGGTGTTAATCGATGGTATGGACGTTGGATCCATCAATCTCCAAGACGCCCGCAGGTGCATGGCTGTTATAACCCAGGATCCGGTGCTATTTGGGGGTACCTTAAAAAGGAACATAGATCCTTTCTCAGAGTATTCGGATCAAGACCTTTGGACCGCTCTGGAGGAAGTGCAGCTGAGGACGCTAGTTGAGGATCTCCCAGGACAGCTCGAGTTCAAGCTGAAAGAGTGTGGAACAAACTTAAGCGTTGGTGAGAGGCAGTTGGTGTGCTTGGCTCGTGCATTGGTCCAGAAGAGCAAGATCATTATCATGGATGAAGCCACCGCTAATGTGGATTTCAAGACTGACCGTCTGATTCAAGAAGTCATTCGTGACAAGTTTAAGGATTCCACAGTCATTACTATTGCTCATCGACTGAACACCATTCTGGATTACGACAAGGTGCTGGTTCTCGATGGTGGACAAGTGGTGGAGTTTGACAAACCTGAAGTGTTGATAAGAAAGGGTGGACTATTTGCTGAGATGATCAGAAGTCAGACACAAAGAGGGAAGGACTGAAAATGACTGCTTAGTAACCCAATGCGTACCTATCAAACCGCTCCTAAATCAATAATGCAGACTGTTATAGATAACTAAACTAGAAAGGCAAAGGGGGTGTAGGGAGTCAAAACTGAATCGAAAAAATATAAACGTATGTAAGTATAAAGATGATAAACCGAGATTTTTGGTGTGGCCGAAGTTTTCTTCCAGTGTTGACAGGCAAGGCTAATATGCACTTTTTACCAGGCCAATCAAACCTTGGGGAACGATATCAGCTGCAAACGTTTACTTCATAGACTTAGTGTGTCGAATTCAGTACGTTTGCCTGATATAAATTTTACTAATATTTTTACTAATTCTTATGATGGTCGTACGCCAAGATCGTCTTAAAATAATACCTTTTTAAACCGGATGGTATACAATGCTCTTTATTTCGAAAACGAGCACGGTTACGCCCATTTTTGGCCAAAGTTGGTCTTTGTATGCTTGTTAAAAAGCCTCACTGCATGGCAAGTTTTTTTTAATAAGATCTGAACGTGGGGAAATTTTGCGGGGCGCGAAGATCCTTAAGCATAGGAGAGAAAATGTGGCTCAAGTCTTCGTTATGGAATTTAAATATCAATAAACATTTTTATTAGTTGTACTTTTCGTTGCTACGTGGTATCCTGGAATAGTATACATTCAAATGGTCATATTCCACTGAATTAAGTCACATAAACTTTGAATAGAAGCGCGCTATGCTGTACACTTGAGATACATGGCTTTTGATACAGACTGCGAGTCAAGAAACTTTACACTTGATGGCTAAAAATAAATTATAATATAAAAACGTGAACTAAATGATGTTAGCTTTCGCTGGATTTAAAATTTTTACATCAGAAGGTGACTAATTTAGCTGTAGCTTCGCAACGCAATTTTGTTCGAGGAAGTGCAGAAGAGATCTGCGTCTTGTTCAATTTAACAGAGCTAAACTTCGAGAACAACTCCCAGGAAGTTGTTGCAAGAGATTGTGTTGTTTAGGCGTCATGGTATGGAAGAGAAGAAAAATAGCTTCTTTGAAACTCCCAAATTAACGGGGCTAGTTGCAAATAGGAATTAGCACTGCTTGCGGCTTAATAGTGTTATAGATTCGTCCATCGACTCCAAACAGGAGTATCGTATATCGTAAATCGCATAATGTGAATAATACTCTTGATGAAAAATAAAGTTTCTCTTTGTTTGGTGCTTCTAAATGTCGGCTCGCAGCACTGTCTCTGATATCGATGAAGTGGGTCTCTCCACCGGCTCTGGCGTGTAAGTGAATGTTAACCCTGTAGGATAAATAACTCCATCGGAGCGAACCAGGCTGACGGCCACTTCTGTGGGCTGACGAACAAACCGCCAACCACCACGAATGGCCGATATGTCTGGGACTACACATAACAGGCTCTCTCCACATCTGTTAAGTGAAATGGCACACAAGAAATGGATTACTTTAGT